GCTGCGAGGTGCTTCAGTGAAACGCCCTATCTCTTTTCGTGGTTTCACGTTAGTGGAATTATTGGTCGTCATTGCGATTATCGGGGTGCTGATCGCCCTGCTTCTTCCTGCGGTGCAACAAGCTCGTGAAGCGGCCCGGCGGATGCAGTGCACCAACAACTTAAAGCAACTGCTAATTGGGCTACACAATTACCACGATCAATTTCTCGCGTTTCCCCCAGGCAGCGTTAATTCGACGGTTCCTCGAAACGGCGGCGGCAGCGGGAACAGCTTCGGGCCAAGCTTCTACGGCATGATGCTTCCCTTCTTCGAGCAAGCCGCGCTGTACGACAGCATGACTTGGGTCGGCGAATCGCCTGGCTATATCGCCGAAGGTTCCGGCAGCGCAGGCGATGCGAACCGTCCTTTCGTGCAGCAAGCCGGTGCAATCACCGTTATGCGTTGCCCTTCCTCGAGCGGCCCTCTAAGGGGCGGCGATAACTTCTGCCCTCAAGCCCACTACGCCGGCGTTTCTGGGTGTGCCGAACCAACTTCGTTCACTGAAAACCGTATCTCAACGGTCACCGTTGCCGGGCAACCGACACTCGTTTCCGGAGGTGGCATGATGTTGCCGAACTATTCGACCGGCTTCCAGTCGTGCACCGATGGTTCCTCCAACACGATCATCCTGGGCGAGATCTCTGGTCGCTTGAAGCGGCTTGATGGTGCGTACTCGGAGCTTGCAGCAGCAGGTACCACGCATGGCTGGCTGATGGGCAACCGCGTCACCGGTTACCCGCCGAATCTCGACAACGGTTCCAACAGCGACCAGCGCTGCTTCAACTTGACCACGGTGCGTTATTCGCCCAATGCCGATCCGTTCGCCTATCAGTTGTTCCCTGGCATGGCCAGCAACGTCGGTGCGAACAATCCTCTTTCGTCCAACCATCCTGGCGGCGTGAATGTCGGCCTGGCCGATGGTTCGATTCACTTCTTCACCGACACGATGGCCTTGGAAGCGCTAAAGAAGATGGCCACGCGTGACGACGGCCAGGTCTTCGATCGTGGCTAAACCTCGGCGAACGTTTCAGCACACCACCACTTTGAACTGATGAACTTGGATTTGCGAATCATGCGCGGTAGTAAGATATGGGGCGTCCTGCTGGGCGCCATGCTTCTAGGCTGCTCCGGCGGTGGGCCCACTGGGCCGACAGGCACCGTCGAAGGCACATTGACCAACAAGGGCAAAAACCTTTCGCCGGAAACGAGTATCGTATTCATTCACAACGAGAAAGGTACCGCCGCCTATGGCATGTTGGCCGATGATGGTTCGTACAAGCTCTCTTCGTCCGAAGGAGATGCAATTCCGGTCGGCATGTATCGCGTAATGGTACAGCCGCCGGCGAGCACGCTAACCGCCGAAGACGAACCTTCCGCGGAAGAACTGCTCGACAATCCGCAGCTCAGCAAACCGGCGAAGAACCAGAACGAGTTCGCCTTCAAGTATCGCCAACTTTCAACAAGCGGCCTTCAGTTCGAGGTGACCGAAGGCGCCAATCAGATCGATATCGATTTGAAATAGTCTGCAACATTCCTGGCGAAAGCTCGCGGCGAATCCAACTCGCAGCGAAAGCATCTGCGCGAATCGAACGGCTCTAGTTGAATTGGAGTTGGGGAGTGGCACAATGGAAACCAATCGTTTCCTGCGTTGCCCCTCCCCTTGTTCTCATTCGAAGGCCCTCTATGGACCACGCCACTTTGCTTTCCCGCAGCATGGACGAGCTGCGTCTGAAAACGGATGCCCACGACCGACTGTGGCAACTGAGCCAGGCCAACTGGGGACTTGATCAACAGGAAGGGACCATCACGTTCACTTCGCCCAACGGCATGGTCACCACCTGCGCGGTGCAAATCGTCGGAACGTACACACCCAACGACTCGACGTGGCTTTGGGCCTGGGATCATCCCTCGGTCGATCCACCGTTGCGAAAGCATGCCGAAACGCTGAAAGAATATGGCCAGACGAACCAGCTCGAACGCTACACCAAGCGCAAGCTGGAAGCGGACGAAATGGCTTGCTGGGAATTCGCCGCGCTGGCCTGCCATTTGAACGACGCCCAAGG